CAACAACAAAAATTTCTAGAACTTATAGCAAACAATGATCTACGGTATATTATGCAAGATTAAACTTAAAAACATGCGCTACACATAATGGACTGTGATTTAAGATAACTGATATTACTGTTCTTGAAGGGATTCATGCTTTAGGTATTGTTTTAATACACTTTTAAAGTGTGAAAAATTCTTAACTATTTTGACATGTTTTGGGAGAGAATTCCAAAATTGGATACCATTAAAATAAAAAGAGTTTCCAATTTGTCCTTTTCGCTTGGGTAAAACAAAATTAAAATGACTATTTCTTGTATCGTATCCATGGATATTTGAGACACGAGTAAAATTATTAGTAATATAATGATCTACATCTGAGTAGTATATTTTATGGACATGGTGTAACACGAGTTGTTTAGACCTTTGACCTACATAGAGTATACTTGCTTCTTCAAGTTCATTTTTCCCGACGTGTGTTCTTGGGCCTAAGCAATTAATAAATCTTACCATCTTATTCTGAATTATTCTTAACTTTTTCTTATCCATCTTGCCCAGACTACTGTACCAAGCAGCATTAGCATAATCAAATAAACATTGTATCAAAGCAAAACACAAAATACGTCTCGACTTCATGTTCATACAAGTTTGGTATCTATACAAAAAATTTAAGCGAGAATTAGCCTTTTTGGCAATTGAATCTACCAAACCTGTCCATGACAGATCACTAGTTAAATTTATTCCTAAATATTTTACTGAATCTTTACTCTCAATCACTTGATTATTATAGGTAACCTTGAAGTCACGTGTATATTTAAACTTTCCCTTCGAACAAAATAAAATACTTTCTGTTTTCCAGCATGTAAACTAAGCTTGTTGTCTGTCATCCATTCGATGCATTTTGCCAATTCTGCACTTAGTTTTTCTTCAATTGACTTAGGATTTGTATCTGAATATAGTAACACACTATCGTCAGCATATAAAAGTAATTTAGAATCTTTAACACAAGTACACATATCATTAATATAACACATAAAGAGAATGGGGCTTAAAATGCTCCCTTGTGGAACCCCGCATTTAATAGGCTGGGAATCAGATATTACCTTCTGCATAGTTACCACTTGATGACGATTAGTTAAATATGATCTAAACCATTTAACACATGCCGAATCCAAACCCATCACTTCCAATTTCTTTAACAGTATGTTATGATTTACAGTATCAAAGGCTTTTTGTAAGTCCAGAAGAACCATTCCAACAAAGCGCCCTTGAGAAACTTCATTCCTAACAAAATCCGATAAATGTATTAAACATGTTTCAGTGGAATATCCGTTACGAAAGCCGGACTGAAATTCATATATTAACTTTTTTTCTTGAAAATATTTCTCTATTTGAGCATGAACCGATTTTTCCAAATTTTTTGAAACTACGCTTAAAACACTGATAGGCCTATAATTACCAACGTCAGTTTTGTCTTTCTTTTTATGTAGCGGTGTTACTTTTGCAATTTTCATGTCGTCAGGAAAGGTAGAAGACATAAGAGATAAATTGATTATATAATTCAAAGGTTCATACAAATTTCTCGCCCCATCTTTTAAAAATCTGGCTGGTATCATATCTAGTCCAGTACTTTTCGATATTTTCAACTTGTTTAACTCATCTAAAACAAACTTTTCTGTAACTGGAGAAAAGTGAAAACTATCTTTTGAGATGTCTTTCTCGTCATAAAACTTTTGAAATCTTTCACTGTCGGCATGGAATTTGTTCGTGTTTACTGGTAATTTACACGCTAACTTGTCAGCCACAGTTGTAAAATAATTATTGAACTCATTTGCTATTCTTGATTTATCATGACATAATTCTCCCTGGACATTAATAACTGTTTCTTGAGCACTTTTCCCTTTGCCTTTTAGACCTAAACCCTTCAAATTTTTCCATAACTTCCTGGAGTCATGTTTATTTTCTTCAATTTGATCTTGAAAATATTCGACTTTAGCTCTTTTAACCTTTCTTTGTACTAGATTCCTTTAATGCTTTGTATTTTCTTGCGAGATCCAAATTACTAATATCCCTTTTCATATTTTTGTAAGCTACATTTCTCTCTTTAATTATCGCAATAATTTCATTGTTCATCCATTTTTCTGTTCTTTGCTTGATTCTTACTTGTTTAAGAGGTGCACTCATATTAACTATTGATAAAAAAAATAGTTTTAAAATTTGCCCATGCCATATTTACTTCGTTACATTCTGTTATTTTAGACCAATCGGCTAGAGATAAATTTAAATTTAAATCATCTACATTATAACTTTTCATTCTTCTAATGGATATAGTTTTGTGGTGCCCAAACACGGGCCTAATAAGCTTCCTTGAGCAATAAGTTAGTGAATGATCACTTATGCCAAGGTCAATAACGCCACTTTGACATAATTATATGCTCTTCCTTACTACATAATACGTGATCTATTAATGAGGAAGTCGTCTGTGAGTTACGAGTGGGCAGATTTATAAGTTGGTTCAAACCATTTAAATTCAATATATTTTCATATTTTCTGGATAATGGAGACTTTCGCAAAAGGCAAATATTTATGTCTCCTAAAACTATGACCTCATCGTCTTTTGTTAATTTATCAAAAGTTTCGGAGAGTCTTTCAATAAAAGTATGATCTTTAGGGGGTCTGTAGTAGACGCCAAATGTAATTGGTTTGGTTCGTGGTAAAAGGACATCGACCCACAATGATTCAACGTTTTCTAACATGAGATCGGCTCGTAAATTGAAGGCAATATCGTTTCTAATAAAGAGGCAAACCCAGTTGGTCACATCAGGGAGACCAGCTCAATAACAGATCGATCAGAAATTCACATTCGTTTGTTTTGACGTGAACTAGTTCTGTTTGGAAAAATTACCATTAATATTACTCATAGTTATATTACTATAACTATAACTATTACTATTACTCTTACTTTCATATTATTTCACAATGTCTTTTTATATTATAATTTTCAGCAGCAACGCAGTGTCAAGGAGTGGCTTTTGATGAGTCGTGTGTGTACAACCCCTGTCAAAATGGAGGCACATGTATGAACGTCTTGAGTAAGTACTTGTCAAATTGTGTTGAGTATGAAAGCAACATTTTTTTATTTTTTTTTAAATCAAGCCAAGCCAATATAAATGGTACTGAGCACCTCCTTTTGAAATGGGCAAACATTACAATGACCGTTGACGCAATCTAATGATGATGTATATCGCAAGTGCAATGAGGTATTTAAATTCTAAGTGACTTGCTTTTCTTTTTTTAAAGATCGTTGCGTCCTGAATGTAGTCAAATACTAATAGGCCTCTCTCAGCATTGGCTCTAGTTAGTTTCAGAACTGGGGGTGTTTCACAAAGATCCTAAGTCGAACTTAACTCTGAGTTGGACTTAAATATTATGGAGAGCCATTTGTAGCCTTAAAATAACATATATTCAAATCTCCTTGATAATAGAAAATATGAATGACTTGAATCAACATTTTATGCCTTTTAAAATAACTTTTACAAAATATTTTCAAAGATGCTAACGGCTTTCCATAATTTTTAAGACAAACTTAGGATCTTTGTGAAACACCCCCTCCCCCCGATCTATTTTTTAGGCTACCCTATTTACTCCGGAACAAACTGCCGTATCCTTCAATACGGGGATTATCATTATTGTAATCATACTGAATGAATGCAAATACTTCTCTCTCTGAAATTATGTTTTATAATTTATGACGTTTTCTTCTCTTTTTTTGGATTATTTAACCCACAATGGCTTATGTAACCCGATTATCATTTTTGAAAGTGATGTTCGTTTCATTTTACCATGGGCAATATGTTATTCTATGTATTTGTGTTTGTTAAATTTGAACAATACAGCAATTGCTGCTAATTACGATTTGGATTGAATCACGAATAAATGACCCCCAACATAGCTGAACACATCTATGAAATCAACGGTTGCTAGTGATAATTTGTGACTAGCATGTATAAAGTTTTATCGATTGTAATATAAGAATAACGATGATTACGAGGCTTAAACATTAATATATTAACCTATGGCAAAATTATACTCTACATGTATATCATATTGGCTTATCTTAGGTAAATATATATCTTCATGTATATTTTCATTTAACGTTTATTATTGGTAAAGTCTTTTTTTAACGTATCGGGACCACCTACCCCCTGCATGGACATCAACCCCCGGATAACCACCCCAGTCAACTACCCCCAAGGACAACTACCCACTAGGACAACCAACCCCAAGGACAACTACCCCAAGGACAACTAATCCCGGACAACTACCACCCGGACAACTACCCCCTAGGATAGTTGTCCGAGGGGGTAGGTGTCCTAGAGGTTGGTTGTCGTAGGGGGTAGTTGTCTGGAGGTAGTTGTCCGAGGTAGTTGTCCCGGGGGTAGTCATCCTAAAGGGTGGTTGTCCTAGGGGGTAATTGTCCTAGGGGGTATTTAGCTGGGGGTGGTTATCCGGGGGTGGATGTCCAGGGGGTAGGTGTCCTAAAAAAAACCTTTTTAAATAGGAATATCACTCTAATGTGTATGTTATTGAAACACATAGAGCGACAAGCCTGCCATTTACTTTACATAACTATAATTAAGCTTGTAATCCACGCACTTTGTTTTTCCGTCTGATCCTTTAATCTTTCCATCTTTCTCTCCACTCTGCTTCCCTCTCTCCATCTCTTTCTCACCCTCTCTATCTCTCACCCCTTTCTTCCTTTCTTATACCATTATTCCACTCTCTCTTTCTCTCTCTATTTCTTCTCTCTCGTTCATTCTTATTCATTCCTCCTCTTTCTGGATCTCCCTCTTTCTCTCTTACATCTTCCCCTCACTACTACTACTACTTCTCTCTCTCTCTCTCTCTCTCTTTCTCTATCTCTCTCTCTCTTTCTCCCTCTTGCTCTTTCAGGACCAGTTGATGGGGTCAGCATAGAATACGAGGGTGTGTTTTATTTACACGTATCCTCCACACCGATGACATGGGCTAAAGCGAACGAGTATTGTAAAGAAGAAGGTGGAGGACTCGTGGGGTTTGAAAATAAAACCGAGGAGACATTTGGAGTAAACGGTTTTCCCGTTAGCGGTTGTAAGTATAAAAAAAAGCCAAGAAAATAGTGGAAAATCACCATTAGGGTCCATTGCACTAATTAAATTTTTGAAAGTTAGAACTCAAAGCTCTTACCAGATATTAGCAAGCGCTCAAAACCTTATCTCAAATTTTATAAAGAGCAGCAAGATGAGTTTATGTAAGTATGTGCACACTTTCAGATCAAAAGACTCGTATACAAAACAAATGAGGTGAATAGAACATTGCAAATTTCAAATTTGAAATTTGAAAAGAAAAGACTGTATTTTGCTAATTAAGAATATTTTGTCACCATACGTTTAGGAATGTTATCAATTAAAAAAAATTCATAAAATGTTTGCCCTTTCACGAGTTTGTAGATTTTCAACGTGTAAATCCCTGCAGCGTTTAAGAGCAAATATATACAATTCACCTAGAAAAAGCTTAGATTAAAAGCTGTATAAAATTGCCATAAGATGCATAAGGTTCAGGAAATATACTAGACATTTCCATGATCGTTTGCACGTGGTATTTTTATCTCTAATATAGATATTTCATAAGTATTATCTTTTGAATATTTAAATATTGTATATTCTGACTTCAAGTACTCACATAATTAGTGGCCACAGTCATCCCATGCCCCCTTTTTGAATATTAATAATAATAATAATATTCCGTGTTTATATAGCGCTCAATACATCGATCCAACGATGTGCCTAAGCGCTTTTAATACAGAGATGTTATTACCCGGACATTGGATTCAGGCTTACCCGCACACAATGTACGCACATGTTCCACTCCCTGGGAGCATCAAGCCAGTCGCCATTTTACAAGCGCACACTTGCTAATCTAACCACATTAACTTTCACATCCTACCGGGTACCCATTTAACACCTGGGTGGAGAGTAGCAAGTGCAGGTAAATATCTTGCCAAAGGATATTAGTGCCGTGTCAGGATTCGATCCCTCGTCCTTCGCATCTCCAGTCGAGCGCCTTAAACCACTCGACCACGACACTCCCACAGTCCCACTGAATGTTGCATCTTAGGCCTAAACTAAAAAAAACATTGACATAATCCTTGTCAAGGCATCTGGTGTGGGTGAAGCGCAGATCAACACCATTGCTACCTCACCCCCCCCCCATCCCCCTCTCCCTCCTCCCCCTCCCCCTCACCGAGATCAGCTTACCAAAGATGATTTATTACGACGGGTAAAGAAGAAGAAACACAATCTGGTAGGCAACGTCAGATCCGGACAAGCGACCTTAATAGCTGGATGGAATGGTGGTGTTGATAATCATAGCATTACGCCATGCTTATCTACCATTAATTGAACGTATTTCATATATTACGACAAGAATGGTGTACAAAGAAAATCGACAAAAGTTTCTTTGTGTTTATTCTGAACACACTTTAAATGAGGTTCTTGGTTTTCTCATTCGAACCACCAGCAACCTACTGGGTGAGTGCCCGCTATCACGGAGCCAGCTCGGAGTGGAAGTGGTATCCGTTGAATGGGACATTTGACGCCGGTGTAGGGGATAGTGAGGACGGGGATTGTATGATCTACTCCAAGGGTATGACCGTCAGTAAACCACAACAGGAACCCTGTAACTCCACCTACGGCTTCATTTGTGGTGAGTATCAGGCGCGTACACAGGGGGGGGGGGGGGGGTTAAGTATTTTTTTGTGTGAAAACCCCCCTCCCCCTTTTATTTAAAAAAAAAAATATTCCCATGGCTGGCCTACCCCCCCCCCCCCCCTTATTCAGCAGCTGGCTGAGTCGTTGCGAAATTTTCGGCCCGATTCATAAATGTTAACCCCCCCCCCCTTGAAAAAATCCTGCGTATGCGCCTGGTGAGTATACATGCGTGCCAAGGTTATACAAGTATCTTATGGAAAGTTTTGTCGTAGCAAGTATATAATAAACACCTTAATTGAAATATTATGAAATAAGAATTGTACTTTATTACTTTAAAAAGAGAAAAAAAAGACACGAGCTCGCAAAAAGAATTGCGTTTGGTGACCGAGGGATAACGGATATCAATAATTTTAAAATAATTAGAATTTTATTGGGAAGAAGGTAAAACTCATAAACCAGCATTTTCTCCAAAATGCTTGCCTCTTGAACGAAATATTATCCTTATAGAAGGATTGAACCGGACCTGATTCAGCAAAACTTCAGCTTTGACATAATTATATCTAGATCATCTGGATGACCATGCAAATACATTTCATTTTTTTAAAATTCATTTTTAATAGCCATTTTGACGTTTGAAATGTATTGCATAATTTGTTCAATACATTCGTTTGCTGATAGACTTAGAAGTTTTCCATTGCCCAACGTTACTGATAATTATCAACATATTGCGGGAAATATTGTTTCCTGCTCAGCTTACTATAATGTGTCTAGTTAGTAAAATGTCTCATCAATGTCCACAGAGGGTTACGATGCTTGGGGCTCCCAGTGCCGGTGCCCACCCCAGTACTACGGGCCCTTCTGTGAGAAAACTGACGGGTCTGGAACATGTAAGTTATAAAGGCAGTTTGTCCAATTTACATCTAAACGTACAAATTTACCCAATAATATTTTTTATACTGCCCACTTTCGCATATTTCTTCTTAAACTCACTTAAACTAAACTTGATACAAACGCAATGTTGATTCATTTCGATTCTCTTTCGAAATAATTTGTTCATTAAAGAAGAATATGACTTTTATAACGGTCATCGATATTCACAAAGATATATATAAATCGATGCCTTATAAATGCAATTTATGAAAGTTAACCGTTTACATTTAGTTCATTAATAACATGTTCTCATTTTGTTTATATGTTATCACTAAAAATTTACTATTCATCTTCTTAAATGTGTTAAATTTACAAACCCATAGACAGCAAAGCGAACAAATTCTGCGAGGGAGAAAACATTCAGGTGTCATGCGCAGTCGAACAGAAGCGGATTCGCATAGAGTACGCCGCCTACGGTGTATTTCATGACAACATGACGTGCAATGATGGTGTAAACTTTCTAGGAGCTGGTCAGACTTGTTTAGCACGTACATCCTTGGAGAAAACAGCCGCTGCGTAAGTCAGAAATGTTGGTTATGCGAACTTATGTCTGTATTTGACAGTGAAAAGCTTGTAATTTAAGTGGTGAAAATCATTACAATCCGAGACAAAAGTCCGGCAGTACCTCGCTGCCTATAACTTTGTTCATGTCTATAGTATATAGACACGTATATTATTTTAATAAATACAAATCGTTGTATATAGTCCAGAGAAGAAGAAAAAAGGCCAGCAATATTTAGACTTTCCGAGGGATGACAAAAGAGAGGGTCGAATGGCCAATTGGATTTCCGAAATCATGCTCCAAATAAAATAAGATGGGAAACCACCCCCTCCCCGTTTATGACAATAATTTACCCGCCCTGAGACAGAAGGACCGAATTAGACAATTATTAAGAAGTTGTATTGGATAGAATAAAATAGCTGCTTGAAAATACAATAATCATGTCAACACAGGGGGGGGGGGGCAACATCGTCTCACACAATATGTCAACAAATATCCAATCATCGATTAACAATATTATTGAATCAGGAACACCAGCACCACACCCCACAACAACCAACAACAAAAACAACAGATTTTATATTTTACTTCTATATCCTATATAGGTGCAATGGGGAATCATTCTGCGATCTTACAGTAACTAACAGGTTCTTCCAGAATAACCCCTGTATCCCCCAGAAGCATCTGGACTTACGATACCAATGTGTGATAGGTAAGAAAGAGTTTTGTCAATTTAATCCTCGCTTTATCTATTTTCGTTTCTAGGGATCATATCGACAACGAAATGACTCTTGCATTTTGGGTCGATAACTACCTATAATAGTTGATTAAAATTGATACGCATGCTATGAATGTAATATTCACAGTCAATCCTGTGTAATACCAGTGTCCCGTTGTATATTAAGTGGGGTGTGGCTATTCCATTGTGATGGGAAAGGGCGTGGCGGACCAAATAGAGCGATCAGGGAATGTGGAACGTGTTATTACGCTTGAGCATTTAAATGTGAGGGGTGTTGCGGCAAAAGGGAGGGAAGTCACAATTTTTCTTCCGACAGCGACGGGTAAGCCAGTATGTCAAAAATGTGTACCTGGTATGATATTTCTCCTAAACGACACAATGTTACGAGAACAGTTACAGTTACCGGAAAATTGCTCAAGTAATACGAAAACGAAACATTACTTCTTTAAATAACTTCTGTCTTTAGATGACCCAGCCGTCTACAATGCACTCTACACGACAGCTCGAACAGAAGCTCCTATTATGTACTGTAGTGAGAGAGTCTACGTGAATACAACATATGAGGTTACTCCAGAAAATACCACTATCGACAAACCCTGCCCTCAAGGATTTACAGGTAATTTTTCATTTTCATTCGTCACAAGTACGTCTACCTCTTATCAGAAAGAGAAATGATGCCAAGTTCTCATATAACCCTATTTCCTCTAACACCTAACACTATTTCCTCTGCTTTTCCCAAATGAAGAATTCTCAACCCTTAATTTTTTTAAATAGGTCATACTTTTGCTCGAGAAATATGAAGAAGTAAAAAGTAAAGAATTACAAACTATGGGTTAATTTTGTTGATGTTGTCGTTTGTTTTTCTGCCTTTCGATTTATTTTTTAATAAACGATTATCACTGCATGCATGTTAATATTTTTTCATAGTATTGGGTCGACCACTGATAAAAGCTTCTCCTATTGGCTGCTATCAGTGATGTGTCATAATGAATCATGACACAAATAATAAAGGATAAACATGAATTCCTTAAAAAATATCAGCTCTCCTAACTGACTAAGAACGAGGCATTGCCGCATATTAATCCAAATATTCCATGCTTATAATCGTAAAACAACTTGGCATTGTTTACTGAAACAATGTTAAGAACACGTTTACCGATATCTCACGCTCCTATAGATGTCGGCGAAATTGAACTAATGATGGTTTCTTTAAACGATGCCGGCACTATGAATATGACTGACAAAGAAAGCGGACAAAATATACAGTTCCTCAGGTAGACAAAGGAACATCCCTTCACTGCTATTATGTAAAAATGTGTAGAACAGGTGTCACATGCATATTCACCTTTTTACATTAATAGCAGTGAAGGGATGTTCCTTTGTCTACCTGAGGAACTGTATATTTTGTCCGCTTTCTTTGTCCGTCATATTCATAGTGCGGATACGCCTATCGAGAGCCATTGATTACGGTTATGGGACATAGTACTTTTTAGCAATTAACTATCCTTGATTTACTCGCAGGGAAAGTGACATTCTCGTGTTTAGAAGGAGGCATGTGGCAAGACGACGGTCCCGATAAGTCCGGATGCACCGAAATTAGTGAAGCTCAAAAACTGGATGAAGTAATTATAAACACCTAGATAATTATGTGTAGAGGCCTATCATGGTAATTTTTAAAGTCAGACAGGTTAATGAAACTGAGCACTGTTTCATGAAAATTGTCATCAATAACACGGCCAGAGTTATAGAACAAATTTGCTGAGTAGTCAATCAAATGCCACGATTTTAGTAGCTTAAGTTTATCAATGTGTTTTGTTGCTGATATAAAACAGGGAACCGTAAACACGTTCCTGCTTAAAATGAAAGGAAAGACTGGCACCGCGCTGCGCCACTGCCAGTAATTAAAAATAACGGAGAAAATCACGGTTTTGTTGATGAAGAGTCTATTAATTTACTCAATACTCTCCGAAATTAAGTAACGATGAACTCTACGCAACCACAAGTAGTAATTTGGAATATATTGTGTCTTACCTTACCATGACACAAGCTCAGTGTCGAATACGGGACCTTCCGGATCAGTTAATAGCAGTGCTCGATCCACTTAGCCATCCTGCCTCCTAAGAAATCGAAACTCAGTCGCGATGGCTTAGTTGTAGAGCAATGATCTCGTACCATGCAGGGAGGTCCCGGGTTTGAAACCCAGTCGATCACCAAGGCCCCCGGGTAGGACTAGAAGCCGTCGGTTCCCTGGTTGCTTGCTTACAGCATGCTCTCTTAGCAATCAGGTATACATAAATATAAACCATGAAACCATAAAGTATTGAATGTATGGTTTCCAACAGAGGATTACGCGTTAAAGAGTGGGCCTGTATTTTAATCTTCCATCCAGCAAATTTTGGAGGGAACTAAAGAAGCGGTGGATATCGCGGCATCCATCGAATATCTACTCAAAGATGGCAGCACGAAGACGGAGTTAGAAGACAACGAGGTCGTTAATCTCCTGTCCGATTTGAATCAACTCCAGAAAAAGCAGCTGGGTGACTCAGAGAAGACTGATCAAGAACGTATCGATACTGCTACTTCATTTGCAGAGGTAAACATAATTATGTGGTGGTATTTCAGCTTAACGGAGATGATTATTCAGACATATTTTTGGTTTTAAGACAGTTTTAAAGATATAGACCGGTAGTGGTAAAATTGCAGTTCAAGGGATTTGGGTGCAAAATATCCATTCAATATTGTTTAAATATTGCCTTCAGACGTTTAGATGGCAATACTTCAACTTAAATTCGCAACAAAGCAGAAGTATATGCCCAGATGTTCAATATCTATCCAGGCCTGATCGATATGATAATTTACCAATTATATCAATTAGTAGGCTGTTTCTCGGCAAAATTTGTATCATCACGTATTAGTCAAAACATAATCTTTCACATGTAATAAGAGCTTCCATTTCAATTTTTGAGAGGGGGCGTTTCCAAAACTGGTCTACACAAGATCTCCTAAACTTATCTCAGTAAGTTATACAAACTTGTAAATGATACAGCTATTCTTGTTTTCCCTTCCTTTTGACAGCGCACACTGAGTATAGGCAGCGTGCTTCTTAGTTCAGACGGAGAAGATCAACAGAAAGTAAGTAAATCAAGATGGCTGAATAATTATGTAATAATTATGATAATAAATTCGTCTTATTTACCCTTCAACACAATCATGTAAACATTTACATTGCGTTTTAAACTGTCCGGAAGCAATTGAGAAAAGGTTGGTTATGTAATATATAGAAATAAATATACTTTTAGGTTTTGACATTGATTTTTTAAAAGAAATATGGACTTGCTCAAAATCGCATGCACTGCTCACGTGCCATGAAAGTTTGGTCCGAAATTGTCAGGTATTCCTTCAATTTCCTTGTCATATTTCGAATATGAGACTATTTGAAGAGTCATCCTGTTTTTAGGAAACAATTTTACTATGATATTTTTTCGAAGTGGCATACACAGGATGAGAAATATCACGTATTACCTTTCATCTTTATCGTAAATCATTGTTGTAGCGGTTAACAAAGGCGAATATTTTTTTAAATGATGACGTAAAGTGCAAAACGTTACACATTTCTGTATCTTATTATCACACAGAGCCAAGTGAAGACGAGTAAGACATTTGTTGCCCGCAGTTGCCATTTAAGTACGCATTAACATTTGAAAAACTGCGGCGGTTGACCGCGTCTTACCGCGTCTTACCGCGTCATGTCTGAGCGAACTTTAATTCAACCTTCATTTTAATGTCCCTTGTATGCTAATACAGAGCGTATCAGTCAACATCACCACAGTGATGGACGACGTCGCCTTTATCGTAGCTGAAGAACTCGAAGAGAACACTGCCAGAACAGTCTCCACCGACACTATCGGTAAGAAGGGACAAAAACAAAAACAAAAACAACAACAACAACGACAAGAATAATAATAACAATAATAACACAACCATGATTATAATAAATATAATCATAAATATTACTAATACAAGTTAAAATAATGAAAATAATAATAATATTTTGTGTAGAAATAATACCAATTATAGCACTGCTTCTATTACTACTACTACTACTACTACTACTACTACTACTAGTACTGCTACTACTACTACTACTACTACTACTACTACTACTACTACTATTACTACTACTACTACTACTACTACTACTACTACTACTACTACTACTACTACCACCACTACTACTACTGCTACTACTACTACTAATAATAATGATAATAATAAAAAATAATAATACTAATGATAATAATAGTATTATAATAATAATTGGCCACATCATTATCAATAATGCTCTTCCTGCGGACCCTGCAATTATCATTACCTCAGCCATTCATAAGATCCCATTTTAACTTAACTATAGAGAGTTGCAGGTGTGGATTATTGTCTTGCCAAAGTACGTTAGTGGCGGGCTGGGAATCGAACCCTCAACCCTAAGATTGAGAGTCAAGTGAATGAACCACTCTTAAAGCAGGGCTCCCACTTAGCCGAGTTTGAACCTCGAGTTGTGGCGAGCTGGAGCGATCTGATGGCAAGCCGTTTTATTATTAATTGATATCAATTCTTGATATCAAGAAATAATTTTACGTTGTAAAGCAATGGTAATTCTTGATATCAAGAAATCGAATTCGTGATATCAGGAATTCGATTTCGTGATATCAAGAATTGAATTCTTGATATCAAGAAATATGTTTTAATGATAAAACTGCTCACCATAAGATCGCGCCAGCTCGCCACAACTCGAGGCTCCAACTCGGCTAAGTGGGAGCCCTGCTTTATACGACATCTCCACATAATTCTTTGATACATACAAATTCCGTTAAAGTGCCTCGGTAACATCGTTGAAGGTTGATGAAAAAACTGCGCAAATTTTGTATGAAATGTTAACTGATTATATTCCTTATACTGTACAAACCCTCTAGCATGCAAAAAATCCTGAAAAAAAATTCTGAAACCACAAAGATTTTATAGTTTCTTGTGAGGCGTCACTGGTCAACACCCTCTAACAGTAAATTCTCCCAATCATTTTTGAATTTTACCAAACATTGTCCCATGAAAATAAGACAAAAGACAGGCTTTACAAAAAAAATCTTGAACACTTTAATGTCTGGGATGGTATATAGAGCCAATACATAGTTTTGTGACGTTTTACAATCACCTAAAATATAATTAAATTGTATTAATATAGTTGGGAGAATTGCAGAATCGATCAGATCAGTTTTCCCAATTGTTATCATTAATAATGGTCTGTTTTCACTTAAACTTTCAGAATATCTCTAACTGTACATTTATCATTGAATTCACTACCTTAGCACCATTTTCTCTCATCTGAACAATGTAACCAAGTCCCTTTAATAGTTCAATCATAATTTTTCTAAGCATCTCACGTAATATTTTGTGTTATTTTTTGTTTATAGACATGACGTGTGGAAGTGTACCGGCCGGCCGTCAGCAGTCTCTTTCATACCCTGGCGACAAGATGTTTACAAATACGAACATGACGAATACACGAGCTGTAGCCACCATGCCACCCTCGGCATTCGACGATGGATCCAATACAAGTAACTACTTCCGTACTATATGAAGGACATATTTGCTGAGAGAAGAACAAGATAACCAGTCACTTTTTATATGATAGTAATTAGCAGATTAGGGAATTATTTGAAAGTCAGTGCACGGAACAAGGAACCCACGAAATATAGTTTTTCCCTCCCAAAACACGTCATTTGGACGATACAAGCCCCTTATCATCTTAAATTGATTTCATCTTCCATTATGATTCGTCCTTGTCTGAATGATTCCAATAGTCTAAGTCACACATCCGGATTGACACAAAAACGTCTTCACCAATTAATTATATTAATGGAACACGCTTTAATGAAAGCAGATGTACAGATCCACTGTTAACCATGTTTTTTCTATATCATTTATTTCCTACATCAACAGAGAGTACACTCGCTCTATTGGAATACAAGAATATCGATAACATCGGAAACAGAATCTTTCAACCACAGTATGACAATTTTATATTCTTATCATAAACTCTCCAATCGCATACTTGCAATTGTCTTCACTAAGGGTCTGAAAGTATTTGACAATTGCATGCAAGAAGATCACGATAGCGACTACTTTTGAAAATCAATCTAACGCAATTTCGATAGCCTACCTATTGAAATGTGCAAACATGGCAATGACGTATTTCGTTATTCCAACATGATTTTTTTATGGAGCATACAATAGGAAAGTGAAATTTCCCTTGAGTTCATTTTTCGGGAACCAAAAGATGCAACCATTTTCAAGGGACTTCGTCAAGTTCGGTTGCATAAACTACTTGCAAAATGCTCAGATGACAATGTAAATCTCTCACCAAAATGGTAATGGTTATAGATTACTGCGTTTGTCTATTCCAAAATAAAAAAAACGAGCCACTATAACAGTTATTTTGATCGGTCATATTACTAAAATTTTATCTTTTAGAATATCAGGTTAATTTTTGTTGAGGAATTTGCTTACCCAGTAATAGTTGCTCATTATCATTATGAAATAGATTTCCATGTTTTCTTGAAAATATGCGAATATGTACATGTATATAAGTACTTGTATCGAAATTGACGTATTTATGTTTGTGGATCAGACGTTTTACATTCTTGGATTAAATCTATTCAGTTCTTTATCAAGGTGTAATGTGTTATGTTTCAGAAAACAGTTTGAACATTTCGTAACTAAACTGATTTTAGTTTTTGTCGTTTCTCTTAAGTATTCGTGTTTCTTTGTCTTTTCAAAACGGGTCTGATTAATATCTATATTTCTATTATTAAAGGTATGCATCAGATCTAGACGAATTGATCAACAAATCGGTAGTTAACACCATCGTCTTCGGGGCTTCAGCATCCAGGGGAAATACATCAGTCAAGACATTTGCAAGAGGAGAGAAATTCGAGTTCATCCTAAAGCACGAAAACGTAAGAAATCACCCTCCAAAAGTATATACCAGCTCGTATTCTTCGCTCATTAATTAACAAAAGTAAACTAATATTATTCCCAAATACACACTCTCATCTACCGGAAAACGTTGCACAGTGGCAGCATCGAAAAAGCAGGACAACCTCACACTTTGCATCGGTTGAACTTTTTTAGACCCTTTTTTGACCTCGATCGATTACATGTATGTGCCCCCCCCCCCCAAAAAAAAAAAAAAAACAAAAAAAAAAAAAAAAAACAAAAAACAAAAAAAACAAAAAAAAACATCAAACTCTGGCTACGTGCCTGCGTTTGCAAAGGATTTAAGAGGTTTATGTTAGATATTAGATCTGTTTTCTTTGGAAACGGACTCATCAGCATTTATCTAGATAAACGTTTACATATGTCTCTGATGAGTGGCTAGTAAGCTTAGGTGATTGGATTTTAAATTTTCATTTTCAGACAAACCTCACAGGTTCAGTGAGCTGCGCATTTTGGGACTCGACCAACAAGTAAGTAGGCTGGAGTATATCTTTGGTATCCGTCATCACACCTATGAACTTAGCAGAAAAGGGTTGATGAAAATCCTGGAGACAGACACAAACATAATTACATAATTAGTCAAACCTGTCTATAGCAACCGGCCAGGGGAAACACAAAAAGTGGTCTTTGTAAACAGGTTTCTTTAGTACATGTTTCAAGGAGAAACCATTTTCATGGGGGAAAAATGTGGTCCAAGTAGACAGGTGGTCTTTGTAGACAGGTGGTCACTAAAGCAGGTTTGACTGTATATTGAGTTTTAGCACAGTGTTCATTTTGCTCATGCAGGTGAATAAAAAGGATATCCAGCATATTCTCCATTTGAAGCTATTATTACTAGTTTTGCAGTCAACACAAAGGCTAAATAAATACGAATACCAAGGTCAATCCTTTCATCAAAGAGACGCATGAATGTCTGTCTATTCGTATTATACATGGGGTTAAATCAAAGTTTACTAAAGAACCCAGGATCAAGCGAGTTACAAGTGAGTTAGAGTTGACTCATATACGGGTTGTTTTTGGCTGGGTCCCGCCCCCCCCCCCCCCACTCATTGTTATTTAGGGTACGCATAATTATATGTTCCCTCCTTTTGAAAAAAAACCCTAAGTCCGGTGTGTAAAACGGGTTTTTGTGTACTATGAGCCGAACTTTGGTGCGTGAAAAGTACCCCTTTACCGAACATTTTGGTAACACGCATGGTATCCCTCCGATCACGGAGTGGGTGGGGGAGGCCGGGGGGGGGGGGGGGGTGGGGGCGGCGGCTGGGTAGGTGAGATATGTTTTCTGAATTTAAGAATATTGGTATAATGTAAAAATATATGTCAAGGATCAGTATAATGACAACATGTTGTCTTGTTCGTTGATATCACCGGAACAGCTGTGCTAGGCGAACAAGGCTATTCCATTTACACATGTTGTCATTTATGTAATATCACCAACACGTTGTTGTTTTTTTGTCGGTAAAAAAAATAATTTAAAAAAATTAAAAAAAATAATCAAATCAAATTTCAGGACGGAGACGCCTTCGGGCTCCTGGTCATCGAATGGCTGCGTGGTCGTCAAGAGTAATCGAACCCATACCACATGTGCCTGCGACCATCTTACTAACTTCGCCATCCTCCTCGACGTCACAGGCGTCTACCAAGAAGTAAGTGAACTTGTTGCGTTGACCATCTCATAACTAGTTTGAGTGATGGCAATGAGTGTGTGTGGGTGTGTGTGTATTGGGTTTTTACAGACGTGTATCAATCAGATAATGATATTTCGCAGTCGGTTCATAAAAGAGTTACATAGACAATGAAATGAGGTTTATTTGATTTAACACCATCTTGGAATTGTGAAGAAAATAATTGAATTAAAATGACATGAAGATCATGATAACATTTATAAAACTATCAAATTTCAATTTTAAATCTATGTACTATTATTTCATATGTTATATTTATAATGCAATGTAATCATTTATTGTTCAGCCAATGAACAAGATATACATCAATGTTGGTCATCGGATTTAAATTGTTGTTCCTCAAGAATGAATTGGTCTTTTTTTTATGCTTAAAATGAAATTAGATTTCAATATGCATCATAAAGAATGTCACTAAAATCGTGTACTAAGTTCCGAATCTCGGAACATGTTCATCTTCTTGTAACAAAACAAAGTGTGCACGGTTGACACTTTTATCTCTTTATAATCTTCTTCTAGATATCTGATGCCCATATCACAGCTCTGGAGATACTAACAATCGTAGGCTGCTCTGTGTCCATCGGTTGTCTTGCTATCTGCGTCTTCGCCTTCAGTTTCTTCAAGTAAGTCAGTTCTTTCTTCATATCAAAAGGTGCGGGGTCCGAAAACCAGCGCAGCACCATTCCTTGGGCCGTGTTGGAAAAACATTCCTTTACATTTGCTACTCTCCACCCAGGTTTAGATGGGTACCTAATATGCTTGAGCGCTAGTGATGTTGGCTTCGTGGCTCCGCTTTAACTGGGACAATCAGGTCGAAGCGGCATGAGCTCCAATGCGTGACGGTTAAGAGCGCTTAATTATTATAATATTTCAGAACTGATATTGTTGATTTGTCCGCCAATGCAGGCCTGACGTGAGACGTTAATAGTTAGCGGTCTACATACGAATATAATTAGTGTTACTTATACTTATGTACGTTCTTTTATTTGGCTACATTTTGGACAAACATCGATTTATTTTCTGATCAAACATCAAATCCACGGAAGCAACAATTTCCATGTGTCTTATACATTTTTAGAATATAAACTTTCCCCATACGTCAGTTCTTTTATTGGATTGAAATATTAATATCAAATCACAGCAAAACAACCACATATGCGTTTGGTATGTAAGCCTACATATTTGCTTTCTGGTCAAAGATTTCATTCCTCGCATTCAAAAGCATCCCTATATTCAATTTGATATAGCACCGACTGAACTAATTTTTGTATTTCTTCCTCTCCGGTTTAAAGATGGAAGCATATCAAGTTTTTAGGGCTTGTTTCTTTGTTTAAATTTACTTGAGTGATGACTCAACAACAAACTATTTATTGCATTTCAATGTTTTCTTTGCTTGCATGCTATGCTTAGCAGTACTTTCTTATTTTTCTTCCAATCTCGTGTAATCTGCTCTGGTATAATGTTAATCCTAGTATTTTTATACCCTTGCTTGCATGTAGATCACTACGGAATACCCGAACAACAATCCATCGCAATCTGTGTATCTCCCTCCTGACGGCTCAACTTCTCTTCTTAGTCGGTGTGGAGAGAACGGAGAACGCTGTGAGTATGATAAGGCATCGAAACTTATTGTGCCGTCCTCAACACAGGACACTCAGGGGCGTCGCTAAATTAATAATTTCTGTTGGCATATTACTGTTTGCACTTCGTTCAAACATAATACATTATAACTGTATACATTTGCTGACCCTTTGTTCGTGTTTGGTTGCTTGGATAATGTTCTGCTAATGTATTAGCAGTATTGATTCGATTCCCTGCTTAAAACCATTTACAATGATTTGAAATGTCTTCTCTTTGGTCATTTTAGGGACTTTTAGATTTGCGTCGACTGCTACATGTGACGCTCTTTTAAGGCACACATAGCAGCCCACGTTGTCGTCGTGCAAATCTAAAAGTCCCCGTTAGTACTGAGAAGACATCTACCCTACGTTTAAGCTTATCTGAAAAGGGAAATATGTTATTTTGGGTCTCATAATTTTTCTACAGGAATATATCTGTTTGCTCTTTACTGTATGTTTATAAAAAACAGTTTATGATTATCTTGAAGACGGCGCGTTACATTACCCCCACATTATTGTTTTGCATCCATTTAAAGCTTGAGCAGTTCGAAATATCAGTTCATCTCCTACAAATTGAATTTGTTTACACACTGTAGCCCTAATTTAATATGTAATCACGTCTTTTTTACTGCACACGTAGAAATATAGGATACTATATGATCTAAACATTTCACCTAATCATCAATTTTACTCTTTTTTTTAAAGATTGTATGCTCAGTGATTGCCGCCATCCTGCACTACACCTTTCTGTGTTCCTTTGCATGGATGGCACTGGAGGGTATTCAACTATACATCATGCTGGTACACGTGTTCTCAACCAGTAGTAAGGTGTTACCATACTACCTGGCAGGCTACGGTAAGTGCCAAGTCGGTGTAAGTTGTGATGAGTGTTAGGTGTTACCCTTTCTACGGTAAGTGCAAAGTCGGTGTAAGTTGTGATGAGTGTGAGGTGTTACCCTTTATACCTTTGCATGCTGTGGTCATCCGAGACAATTTGACAGTCAGGTCATGTTGCAGTGGAAAGGATGTGTTAGCAAGAGCATTGCCATTTTCTCCCTTCTCTTTCTTTTCCATGGGGGGGGGGGGGGGGAGGAGGAATGGGGGGGGGGGGGGGTCAACAAAGTGAATATAATGAACAATTTAATATGAATAATTAGTTGACAGTTTGACGAAATGCTACGAGTGCTGACAAATCTCTGTAAATCCGATGAATACTATTATTTTAATATAATTTACGCCTTTACTTTTTTTAGGGGAGGCGTGACCTCCTATTCTCCTACTTCTTCTACACGTTGGTAGATTTCATTCGTTTTGTTGTTGTTGTTGTTGTTGTTGTTGTTTTTTTTTTTGGGGGGGGAGCTAAAGTCCAATGTTTATTACTTGTTCAGATATTTTCTTTCTTTCATATAATTTTATATCCAGGTTTGCCCGCAATCGTGGTTGCTGTAGCAGGCGGGATAAGTAAGGGCGAAGGGTACGGACAAGAGCAATAGTAAGCAATCGATTAATTCTTCTTCTTCTTCTTCTTCTTCTTCTTCTTCTTCTTCTTCTTCTCCTTCTCCTTCATCCCCTCCTTCTTCTTCCTCCTTCTTCTTCTTCTTCTTCTTCTTCTTCTTCTTCTACTTCCTCTTTCTCTTCCTCTTCTTCTTCTTCTTCTTCTTCTTCCTCTTCTTCTTCTTCTTCTTCTTCTTCTTCTTCTTCTTCTTCTGCTTCTTCTTCTTCTTCTTCTTCTTCTTCTTCTTCTTTTTTTTCTTCTCCTTCTCCTTCTTCTTCTTCTTCTTCTTCTTCTTCTCCTTCGTCTTCTTCTTCTGCTTCTTCTCTTCCTTTCCCTGCTTCTTCTTCTTCTTCTTCTTCTGCTTCTTCTTCTTTTTCTTCTTCTTCTCCTTCTTCTTCTTCTTCTCCTTCTTCTTCTTCTTCTTCTCCTTCTTCTTCTTCTTCTTCTTTTTCTTCTCCTTCTTCTCCTTCTTCTCCTTCATCTCCTTCTTCTTCTTCTTCTTCTTCTTCTTCTTCTTCTTCTTCTCCTTCTTCTTCTTTTTCTTCTCCTTCTTCTCCTTCTTCTCCTTCATCTCCTTCTTCTCCTTCTTCTTCTTCTTCTTCTCTTCTTCCCTTCTTCTTCTTCTTCTCCTTCTTCTCCTTCTTCTTCTTCTTCTTCTTCTTTTTCTTCTCCTTCTTCTCCTTCTTCTCCTTCATCTCCTTCTTCTTCTCCTTCTTCTTCTTCTTCTTCTTCTTCTTCTTCTCCTTCTTCTCCTTCTTCTTCTTCTTCTTCTTCTTTTTCTTCTCCTTCTTCTCCTTCTTCTCCTTCATCTCCTTCTTCTTCTTCTTCTTCTTCTTCTTCTTCTTCTTCTTCTCTTCTCTTCTTCTCTTCTTCTTCTTCTTCTTCTTCTTCTTCTTCTCCTTCTCCTTCATCCCCTCCTTCTTCTCTCCTTCTTCTTCTTCTTCTTCTTCTTCTTCTACTTCCTCTTTCTCTTCCTCTTCTTCTTCTTCTTCTTCTTCTTCCTCTACTTCTTCTTCTTCTTCTTCTTCTTCTTCTTCTTCTTCTTCTTCTTCTTCTTCTGCTTCTTCTTCTTCTTCTTCTTCTTCTTCTTCTTCTTCTCCTTCTCCTTCATCCCCTCCTTCTTCTTCCTCCTTCTTCTTCTTCTTCTTCTTCTTCTTCTTCTACTTCCTCTTTCTCTTCCTCTTCTTCTTCTTCTTCTTCTTCTTCTTCTTCTTCTTCTTCTTCTTCTTCTTCTTCTTCTTCTTCTTCTTCTTCTTCTTCTTCTTCTTCTTCTTCTTCTTCTTTTTTTTCTTCTCCTTCTCCTTCTTCTTCTTCTTCTTCTTCTTCTTCTTCTCCTTCGTCTTCTTCTTCTGCTTCTTCTCTTCCTTTCCTGCTTCTTCTTCTTCTTCTTCTTCTGCTTCTTCTTCTTTTTCTTCTTCTTCTCCTTCTTCTTCTTCTTCTCCTTCTTCTTCTTCTTCTTCTTCTCCTTCTTCTTCTTCTTCTTCTTTTTCTTCTCCTTCTTCTCCTTCTTCTCCTTCATCTCCTTCTTCTTCTTCTTCTTCTTCTTCTTCTTCTCCTTCTTCTTCTTTTTCTTCTCCTTCTTCTCCTTCTTCTCCTTCATCTCCTTCTTCTCCTTCTTCTTCTTCTTCTTCTTCTTCTTCTTCTTCTCCTTCTTCTTCTTCTTCTTCTTCTTCTCCTTCTTCTCCTTCTTCTTCTTCTTCTTCTTCTTTTTTTCTTCTCCTTCTTCTCCTTCTTCTCCTTCATCTCCTTCTTCTTCTCCTTCTTCTTCTTCTTCTTCTTCTTCTTCTTCTTCTCCTTCTTCTCCTTCTTCTTCTTCTTCTTCTTCTTTTTCTTCTCCTTCTTCTCCTTCTTCTCCTTCATCTCCTTTTTCTCTTCTTCTTCTTCTTCTTCTTCTTCTTTCTTCTTCTTCTTCTTCTTCTCCTTCTTCTTCTTCTTCTTCTTCTTCTTCTTCTTCTTCTTCTTCTTCTTCTACTACTGTTAATCTTCAAAGGGCTATCTCAACAATATTGTATTTTATTTACCAATCAAGTATATCGATTTATCTACCACTAGTTGCTGGCTGTCTACCGATCGTGGATTCATCTGGAGCTTTGCTGGACCTGTCGCTTTCATCATCTTGGTAAGGAATGGATTTCAAATTCTTTTCATTAAAAATTAAGTGACATTTAATCATTTAATTTATGTATAAGAAATTAGTCAATCATTGCCAACAGTTGTTTCGAAAATAAAGAACCCTGTGGAACGTGAAAAAAAAAAAATCATTGCCACTATTGAAATCATTTGATCGTAATATTGAATAGTATCATTTCAAAATCTTGAAATTAAAAAAAAATGATGAGACAAAAATTAATAGGATTAAGTTGAGAAATTCTCCTTTCATTTAGATGTTTACAATTTGTATGTGTACAACTGCCATGGTCGTACAGATGCATGGTGAATATTTGCTATACCAATCAAATAAAATAAAAAGGAATCATGATAATATTAGCGATGACATGAGATTATCTTTTGTTCAAAAAGAGGTTTTCGAAGTGGGTGTACATGTACATGACTGACTGGTATCACAGTATATTTATTTTTCTTTTCCAGGTGAATTTCGTGTTCTTGGTAGTGTCTATCCGTATCGCCTACTCTGGCCGTGCTGCAGTCAGCAAGGACGCCACCAACTCACAGAATATCAAGTAATTTGAAATAAAGAGTTCATTTCAAAAATTGGGTTAAAGTGTGGTACGGTATGTCAATGAAACAGCTCCCGTAAGATTTTTGTTCCAAAGTTGATTTTTTTTTTTTTTTTTTTTTTTTTTTTTTGCCTTTTTGGATTCATTGGGGTCCAAGCTATCAGAAATTGGTGGGGTTCAAATTTTCCCGAAGACACCAAATTTCCCTATTGCGCGTTATATATGCCATTTTGGCGCCCAATATGGACCTCCCAGGAAATGAAGGAGGGGTCTGACAATTTGAACCCTGTCATTTTGGGGCAATTGGGACCCTTTTGAAGCCAAAACAGCAAAAAAAAAAAAAAAAAAATCAACTTTGGCAAAAAAATCCTACGGGATTACATACCATACCGCACTATTAGGGTTAGGATTAGGGTGAGGGTTAGTGTCAGGGTTAGGGCTGCATACCACGGTGCTTCTGTGTTTGTTTCGTTTTTCGTTTATGTACATCGGGGGTAGGGTACCTTGAAATGCTAGAGCGCCGCAATGGCAGCACAGCTAAAGCCGGGGTAATAATCTCCAAGTTTGGAAGCGCTTAGTGATTCTAATAAGCGCTATATAAAAACTGAGTATTATTATTGTTATTAAAATGTATTACGGGCAACAACAATAACATTAACAAAAATGTCCTGATATGGACTATCACATGATAGTTAGCAAAATGGAGGTTCAGTTTTTCTTACAAGCAAGATTCAATAATAACGACAAAACAAAAGTAACAATGAATAACACAACATAATCATTACTGTACAGTAATGATAATTATTTGTTCGATGTGTCGATAATGCTGAACAATTCAAACGGATGATAATATAAACGTTTCCAATGCTGTTAAATGGATCGAATTGCAATTTCCAAAATTGTTATGAATTAGACATTGAATGGGTTAAGTTTCACTGCTATATATACTTGTGTTTGATTGTCCTCATCACAAAATCTATCATTGTTGATTGTGGTAGTCATTAGATTAATTGTGAGATCAAGTCAGTTAAATCATTAGTCTTATCAAGACCCTGTTTCATAAAACTTGTTATCAATAACAAAATATGCTTAAATCCTATGGCAAATTAGCTCTCTACCAATCAGCTGGCATGATTACGGTAGCTTATAACAGTTAAAGTAACTTGTTATTGAGAACAAGTTTTATGAAACAGGACCCAGATTGATATGATGATTATGAACCAAGTGAGTTGCATTGATGTAATGCTGTAAATGATTTGTCTGTATTTGCAGGATATGGATCAAGGGGGCAGTGACTTTGACCTTCCTCCTTGGAAGCACATGGGGTGTAGGGTTCTTCTTTTTGAGCGGGGCATCTATACCCATGGCCTACGCCTTCGTCGTACTCAATTCCTTACAGGTGAGGACACGCCCTTAGGTTACGATGTCAAATGTGTGCATGTAAAACATCATCTGTATACCAGGCCCCGTATTCAATTCCATACTGAAGTACTAAATTTAAACTTTTTACTTAGTATTTGGCTTAAGTAAATTACTTAGACAAAATTGAGATTCAATTAATTTTCAAGTATTTTACTAAAGTAAAGTATGATTTTGTCTTAGTAAATGACTTAAGTATTTCACTTAAGGTTGGTATTCAAATCTCTTTCGTGAAATGATGCCCAGCAGCCCAGGACCCTGTCTTATAAACAGTTGCGATTAATCGTAACTTATTTGCGATTGATATCAATCGCAACTATGAACATAAGAGATAGGAGAATGTAAACTTGCGATTGATTGGAGGACTTGCGACGGATTCGAATCAATCGCAACTCTTTATAAGACGGGGCCCAGGGCATCATTTCGCGAGACCGTCGTAAACCAGGCGCGGATCCAGGATTTCTTGGGGGGGGGGCCAAATTTGAAATTATGCGAGCCAAATATTGGTACGTTATGGTGACCAACAGTGACGTAATGCGGGGGGGGGGGGTCGGTGCAGGGGGGGGCGAGTTTCCCCCTCCCAGGCTTTGACGTTTCATTATATTATTAGAGAAAGAAGACGATTCGTTGTACCGTTCTCGAAAATAAATCTCGTCTGAATTTAGATTTTCTCCTCCCGCGCTAAGCGCGGAAAATTTTACGATTTATTAAATTATTAGAGAAAGAAGACGATTCGTTGTACAATTCTCGACTCTTAATCCTTGTCTAAATTCAGTCCCACCCCCTCCCCCTCCTGCGTGAAGCGCGGAAGCATTGACGTTTTATTAAACTATTAAAGAAAGAAGACGATTCGTTGTACCGTTCTCGAAAATAATTCTCGTCTGAATTTAGTTTTTCCCCTCCCGCGCTAAGCGCGGAAAATTTTACGATTTATTAAATTATTAGAGAAAGAAGACGATTCGTTGTACAGTTCTCGACTCTTAATCCTTGTCTAAATTTAGTCCCCCCCCCCCCCTCCTCCTCCTCCTGCGCGAAGCGCGGAAGCTTTGACGTTTTATTAAACTATTAAAAAGAGAAGACGATTCGTTGTACCGTTCTCGACCCTTTATTCACGTCTGATTTCAGTTCCCCCCCCCCCTCCCGCGCAAAGCGCGGAAGCTTTTACGTTTCATTAAATCATTAGAGAAAGAAAACGATTCGTTGTACAGTTCTCGACTCTTAATCCTTGTCTAAATTCAGTTCCTCCCTTCCCCCTCCTGCGCGAAGCGCGGAAGCTTTGACGTTTTATTAAACTATTAAAGAAAGAAGACGATTCGTTGTACCGTTCTCGACCCTTTATCCTCGTCTGATTTCATTTCCCCCCCCCCCCTCCCGCGCAAAGCGCGGAAGCTTTTACGTTTCTTTAAATCATTAGAGAAAGAAAACGATTCGTTGTACAGTTCTTGACTCTTAATGCTTGTCTAAATTCAGTTCCTCCCTTCCCCCTCCTGCGCGAAGCGCGGAAGCTTTGACGTTTTATTAAACTATTAAAGAAAGAAGACGATTCGTTGTACCGTTCTCGACCCTTTATCCTCGTCTGATTTCAGTCCCCCCCCTCAAGCTTTGACGTTTCATTCAATCATTAAAGAAGAAAACGATTCGTTGTATAGTTCTCGACTCTTAATCCTTGTCTAAATTCAGTTCCTCCCCCTCCCCCTCCTGCGCGAAGCGCGGAAGCTTCTACGTTTCATTAAATCATTAGAGAAAGAAGACGATTCGTTGTACAGTTCTCGACTCTTAATCCTCGTCTGAATTCAGTTTCCCCCCTCCCGCGCGAGGCGCGGAAGCTTTTAATCTTCATTTAATCATTAAAGAAGAAGACGATTCATTGTACCGTTCTCGAAAATAATCCTCATCGGAATTTAGTTCCTCCTCCATCCCGCGCGAAGCGCATAAGCTTTACGTTTCATTAAATAATTAAAGATTCGTATTACCGTTCTCGCCTCTGAATCCTCGTCTCAATTCATACCCCCCCCCCCCTCCTCCCCTCCTGCGCGAGGCTTTGACGTTTTATTATTAGAGAAAGAAAACGATGCGTTGTACCGTTCTCTATACTCTTAATCCTTGTCTGAATTTCAAAGATGTTCTTTGTCTGCTCCTTTTTCTTCCTACGTCCTCTTTCGATTGGGGGGACCGCCACCCCCCCCCCCCCCCCCCCTGGCTACGCGCCTGCAGTCAGATAAACACATCTTGATACCTTGTCCGACCCCGCAAGCTCAGGGGTTTAAGGCAATAAATTACGGTCAGATAAGCATTCAGGGGCCCGCCTTAGGGTCCCTGGTGGGGTCGAGGCGGCGGAGCCGGCCCCGGAAGCTCAGGGGTTTTAGGCGTTTAATTAAGGTCAGATGAGCATATTTTTGTGTATACCTTATTATTTTGTGACACTGGCAAGTCACTATTTGGCGTGGGGTCCAGGGGGCGGAGCCCCCCTAAAATCAAAGGTTTTAGGCATTAAATTACCGTCAGATGATCATCTAAGGGCCCGCCGTAGGGCCCTAGATGGAATCCAGGGGGTAAAGCCCCCGGAAGCTAAGGGGTTTTAGGCATTTAATCACGGTCAGATGAGCATATTTTTGTGTATACCTTATTATTTTGTGACACTGGCAAGTCACTATTTGGCGTGGGGTCCAGGGGGCGGAGCCCCCAAAAATCAAAGGTTTTAGGCATTAAATTACCGTCAGATGATCAACTAAGGGCCCGCCGTAGGGCCCTAGATGGAATCCAGGGGGTAAAGCCCCCGGAAGCTAAGGGGTTTTAGGCATTTAATCACGGTCAGATGAGCATATTTTGATGCCTCGAGGCTCTCGATCTCGTACCTCGGGCCCTGACATGTAGGAATCTCAAGAATCATATTTTTTGCCTGGTTGTAAATTTAGGAATTTTGTTATTTTCCAACAAACACATACAAACGTATAATTTACTAAAAAGTGAGGAAAAATTTCGGAAATTATGTCATTTCAGCATTATTTGTAATACACCGTTGTGGAATCAGAAATAAACCACGTTTGAATTTGATTTCCCCCAAGCCCCCCCCCCCCTCTATCAGTACGCCAGTATCTCCTCTTTTTTTATTTCCCTTTCCTTCCTTCTCTCTTATTTTTTTTTGATGGGGGGGGGGGGGGGGTTAACAGCCTGGGAGGCAAGGCTCTTTCGCCCCCCCCCCCCCGATCTCCTTCTTCTCCCTTTACTTTTATTCTTCCTCTTCTTTCTTTTCCTTTTTCTCCCTTTTCCCTTTCTCCCTTCTTTCCCTTCTTCTCTCTTTTTTTTTTTTTTTTTGGCGGGGGGGGGGGGCCAAGGCCCGCTCGGCCCCCCCCCCCCTGGATCCGCGCCTGCGTAAACTGTACAATTTCGGCTACCCCGAATGATAATGTTATGGTATTTTTTTATTTGTTCTAAAACTTGACGTCTGTGATGACTTTAAACGTGATTATTAAGTCGAATTTATTAAACATCAAGTTAGACCAGCCATAGTTCATATTAGTTCCTTGGGCTAAATATACACTCGGGTTAAATAAAGCTTAAGAACAGTCTCGAGTTTGATTTGATAGAATAAGGCCTTAAGGCACTCTATCAAAACAAGTATACACTCTGAAATATGGATTGGGTCCCATTACAATATCCAAATCACGTCTCATAGTATTTAAAAAATAAAAAAACAATATGGAAATGTGATTTAAAATCATATCAATGTAGGGACATCGTTTTGTTTAAAAAGGTCACTTTGCACTGTAAAATAGGAGTTTCATCGCACTATTAAAATCCTTAAATTGTGCACTGTTGCTATTGGAATCATTTTCAAGTTGAGAGATAAAACTGCTCAGGTCTACCTTTGATATGAATCGTCTATCTCCTTGATGTTTTTAAGAGACTGAACTTCGACCTCTTATAATTATTATATGATATTTTTTTCTCTCTTTTTCTCAGGGAATGTTCATCTTCATCTATCACTGTTTGGGTAACGACCGAATCAAGAAGGAGATGGCCAAGTTTCTACTTCGTCAGCCATGCCTGCCTGATTGTCTAAGGGTCAGACTCGAAGTTGTCGCTCGCGTCGGTAGCAATGTGTACAGCTTAACTCAAAGCTCAACAGTATCGGTAAGATAAAGACTGGACAACACTTTTCAAATCATTCCTCACCAAACTATCTTATTTCCCCTCTTATAATCCATTTTACTTTCATACAAAATACTCTTCGTGGGAACTTCAGTTATTCCCCTTGGTAATGCTGATGGCATTATTTTGTACAACCTTACAGAACTCCACATTAAATTGGATTCATGAAAAGATTTTCCTATTTTTCGCCGGGACATAATTTTGTGGAGAAAGAGCGGCAGGAGGGAGGGGGTCGATCCACAACTTTTGATAAACACAATACGTTATTCAATCGGAAATAGAAAATATTTATTTATTTATTATCAATGTCGGTTAGTGTAATAAATTGGTATTTTCCGGCCCGTTTAAACTTGGATGGCCGGAAGCTGCATATGGGTGCTTTGAAAAAAAAATATGTTTGAAATCTTATATATTTATGTTTTCTATCAAAGACGGTGTTTTTCTCCAAAGGGCTTACTCCTGTCTGTAAGTGTTGTGGACTTCAATCTTTGTTCCCACTGAAATAAGTTCAAATCACAGACGACACAGAAACGAGACAAACTTTCGATCTGTTTCCTTCGGGTTTTATCGTCTCATTTCCCTACAATTTTAAACATACGTTTTATCCATTATTTTTTTCTTCCTCTTTTCTTTTCTTTAACCCATCTATTTTTACAGACCAACAAGAAACCTGACAGTAAGTATTCTACGACTCATGTTCTATTCATAATGATTAAAGGACACAAACAAATAATACAAAATGAAGCTCTCCATTATAATTCTGCCAATCATTTACGAGTCACTACAACCTGTCAAAAAATGTATATGATAAATATACATATCTATATTGTTATAGGATTTGTGTTATTGTATGGTCTTTACAGTATTAATCTTGGGTTGGTGCAGACTTATATAAATTATCATTTATTCACTATTATTTAATTTGAAATAAACAGATTAATAGATTATAACTAAAAAAATGAAAACACGACAACTTAAAAAGGGCATCCTCTGATCACCTGCCTTGCTGCTCAAAGACTATCATGAATAATCATTGAGGTGGTCAAATCTAATATTTTTTATATCTTTTATATTTTGTTTGCATTACAAGAGTAAAAGGAAGTTTCAGATAGTCAATGAAGTAGCGTGAATACACATGCCATGGATGGGACACGGCATGGTAGGGGATGATAATAATAATTTTGTTTAACCAGGGAGGCCCCATTAGCATCAGTCCTGTTCTTCCTAAGGGCCAGGCGCGGATCTAGGGGAACCGAGCGGGCCTTGGCCCCCCCCCCCCCCCTGACCCTCCCCCCCCCCAAAAAAAAAAAAAAAAACGGATATAAAGGGGGGGGGGGTAATAAATACAAAATATCGGCCGGCGCGATTTTTCAAATTTTCGGGGTCAAAATAGAAAAAAAATAAGTGCTCACTATAGGTAGAGCAGTGGTCTCGTAATCTGATGACCCGGGTTCGAAGTGCTCTATGGTAAGGGATTAATCCTCAATACCAGGTCCGTCGGAGAGGAGCTAAAGCCTTTGGTCCGCTGGTTGCTTTCTTAGCAGTCAGGTATTAATAAACACCACTACCACCACCACTAGATTCCTTGAAAGTGTTTGCAAACGTGCCATACTAATACCTCCGCAATATTTTGTTTTGCAGCTGTTGCTCTTTCAGAGAAGAAGAAAGACGTGGTTCATCCCGTGGTCTGTGTACAGGACGTCGATGAGGATGATGGCAAGCCCAGGTCCTGGCTCTACAACCGTAATGGAGCCGAGGAGACCAAGGTGATTCCTCCCTCCGACTACCCTGAACCAGACTACTATTAAGTCTACAGCGGAATAATTATATCCAAATCATAAGACCCGCTTTTAAACTGTCCAGACTCAAGACTTACCTTTTCCTTACGTTTACCTTTCCTGACAAGTGACGATTCTAAAATCAGACTGCTGTGAACTCTTCAGATAAAGTGGTTATCCTGTCGTTGACTATCCCTCGAGCAGGACTATTGACCGCTCTTCAACTCAGTCACTAGTACTGACTGCCCTGAATGAGATTGTTTCAGATTTGTACATAGACCAAGATTATCCCTGTAGCTGACTATAATTTATAGCCGATCGGACTTTGTTTAATTCGACGGTGGAAGAGGCCAGGGATTATCCCTGCCGCTGACTATCTTGAACCAGATTATTACGCTTTCTGAAAATGTAAAGATACCAAATTTATTCGTGTTACTGAACCCACGAAGGGACTACATACCGCTGAATAGATCTTAGTGATCAGAGCCGCTGACTACCAACTCTTTAGCTGAAGAGATTGTGGATATCCTTGCAACTGACTACCCTGAAACAGACTATTGCTGAGTCTGCGGAGAATATAGCCGACTACTCTGAACCGGACAATAACCAGTTCGTCACAGAACAGAGTTATCCCTTCGACTGACTTTTCGGAATCTGATTGCTACTGATTCTTCATGACTATAAGTTTATCCCTATAGCTAAGTGACTACCCCGGATAGGACTAGTACCAGTTCTCTATTCGACGAGACAGAGCCACCCCTGAGCCTGACTACTCCGAATCAACTGCTACCATGCCCGTCTTTAAAGAGCAAGGTCATTCCTACTACCCCTGACCAGACTACTACCACTACTACCAAGATACCTTTGCTTGTAGTGATGCCCTGACTATGCCGAATTGTCTAGGTATAGGGGTGTATGATTTAGGCGAAGAAGCCAAAAGTATTCCAGTGGCTGATTTACATCGAGCCGGGACTACTCAAAATCAGTTTAGCCGCAAAGACCAAGGTTAATTTTGTTTACTATCCCAAGATGGACTACTACCGATTCTACAAAAGACCAAGTACATGCGACTGACTGTGCCTACTTCGAGCCAGACTTTGACTGAAATTAGAGCTGAACAAACGTAATTGAACTATTACAATACCCAGAGAAGTTACATGTGCAGACCTATAGATTGATGTCATCAAAAACCTCGGGGTAAAATTTGATTTATACGAAAGGGTAGACAGTACCGGGATGCTTTTAAATGTTCGCAACAATGTGCAATTTTGTGATAATTATCGTTCTGTTTATGATATGAGAACGGTTATATCTAACATCATGGCGAAAATTTTGCAAAGAAAGTACACAACAACTGTCACTGTCTAAGATATTGTTTATTGGCTTTGACCAGAAAGGGACACACTTTTTTTAAAACAAAGCAATTTAAAGAGGTGATGTGATTTTTGAAGAACAATGTTGTGTATACTTGCAATACTATTGTAACATGTATAATTGGAATATTAGGCAGCAAACGCAGTACTTTGGAAGCAATATGGTTAACTTATTGATAAGAAAGTAAAATTCGGGGAGGTTGCGTTTTTTTATCTTTGTTTTCAATGTTTGCAGTGATAAAAAGCAGATTCGTGTGATTTTTTTTAAAAATTCATTTAGTTTGTGTACATATCCTCCTGTATATCGACCTTCTGTGATATATGACTATGACCAGCTCCCAACCTATAACTATGGGACTGTGATTTTATTTTCGTCTCGTGTGAATTGAATATATATAGAGAATTTGTTTGATATTTTTATATTGCAAGTTGACAAGCAAAATAAACATACATCATATGATCAAGATGCATGGCAATATTTTAAGCATCTCTTTTGTATATTGGAAGTCAATTGCAACCATATTTGCAAAACCTTTATGTTAGCAATATTGTTGGTACATCAATTTATTGATTTATGAAATAATGTTACATGAAATGAAATGAGGGTTACACGCTAGAAATATGAATGCTTTGTAAATTTAGTATTTCCTTTCATCATTTTGGCTTAAATCTGTGATAGAATTTGCTTGCATTTGCTGTGGAAAGTCAATTTTTTTCACTAATCACCTTTTGAAATAATTTAGTGACATTCCTTGTGTATGTACATATGTCACTTAGGCCACCGTTTAGTGCTTTGTAAAAAGTAGAATTTTTAAAATTACAACTAACTCCAAAAGTAAGTTTATATAGCAATGTAAGTAAATATCATGTATAGCTTTATCGATTGTAAATACAATTTTGATCATTCCAGTTATAAACGTACGTGTTGATATTTTTGTGGCAGGAAATTGTCTCTAATGTCAATTTATTCTGGTCCATGTGCCAACCTTTTGATTAAATGATGTATTGCAATAAATGCGAGGCAGTTTATTGAATGGATAGAGAGTGCGAAATAGAAAGAAAATATTGAGACAGATGTAATAAGCGTGCCAAGTGAGAAATATTGTGGATCATATAGGATAAAACTAGGAGTAAGAAAAGGGGGATAGATATTGACCGAAGCGAACAAAAAGTTGCAAGCATTAATTGGTTTATTTCACAAGAAACAACATCGCAAATACTTTGGAGATATCAACTTAGGGGCAATTTCAATATTCTATTGTTTTTTTCCACGGAAACCATGTTCGGATGACGTAATAATGTGATCGTAATCATTCGCACACGGCTGTTGAATTTGGCTTAGGTTGAATTTGGGAAAGTGTTTTGCGATCGGGTTCAGAATAAGGACACCTTTTTTTAACAATGTAAATGTGGTTTCCTCAGCGATATATATTTCCTTTTATAAAGTTAATAGAGACCGTTATTGCGTGCATGATGTTGCATAATTATCAATGCATGTTTTGAGTGATAATGTTGCTATACTTTATTGACTGATTGAAAGAATTGAAACAATGTTTATATAGATTTCTGTTATCAAAATAATCGTTTAATGACTCTGTATGGGATTTGTATACCTGAACATTTTTATATAATGTGCTGTTTGAGAGGGGGGTCATTTTCAACCATCTAGGAAGCATCTTGGTTGCATAGCAATCCATTGCGCATACTCACTTCATCACAGAAAGAATTGCACAATCATAAATGATTTAAATATGTGAATTTATGATGTTTTGTGGCCAAATGTACAGTACTCCGTACCAGTACTCCAACACCAAAACATAAATGAAAAGAAAATACCATGTCCCTGAATGCATTTCATCTGTAAAGAATTGGCTTCAACGTTGAGAGTTGGCATGCGGTTATGTGATCTAATTGAAAGTTTGACATTGAAGGAAACGTGTTTTTTTTTCTCCACATTTTTTGTTTAAAAATTCAATTTTGGAAAGCGTGAGATAAGAAAAGAGAGAACAAATTTATTTTCTGATGAAGATTGTTATGCATATATTTGATAATGTCTTTGAAAAGAATTGAAATAGTTGATTTAATTCATTTTAATTATAAAGAAGTGCGTGCCACATGTATATAGCTGTATGCGACTCATCAAAGTCTTTCTAATATTTGTAATATACTTTTGACTCTAAGTATTTTGATTGTGTTATAACCGCCTTCGAGATCATTGGGATGAGACGCTATACGATTTGCCCTCATTTTAAGAATGTCCAATTATTTTTTAAAGTGGTTTATTTAAGATAAGTTCAGTCGCATTTCGACGGTATAACTTCTATAAATTATTTTTCAAATTCGCCTTCATTATGAGAATATCCTTGTTGGTTTGATAATGGCTTTAAGGCCAAATAAAAACAATATTTTACTTTGTCGTTCCTTCCTCCTTCCTCGATTCAATTTTTTTGTTTTGTTATTATAATTTTGTTCTGGAATTAAATGAATACTAATCTGAAAACATCTTGGCAATATAATGCAGTTTTACGTTGTTTTTAGCATCTTTGGTGCACTTGCTATGAGATTTGAATTGACAAATAATTTTCTTTGTATAATTACATGGATTTGCCTCCTCTTCATTTTGGAAAAAAATGTCGACGAAAAACTAGAAATCAATTTAAATTGGCCTTATTTGAGGATGAAATTTAGTCGAGAAGGTGTGGAATCTTTGTTTCGATTCCTGTCAAACAGGAAAGTCTGACTTCTGACAAGTCGAAGAGTTCATATCGGTCACCGAGAACATGGAGACCAGTCTTCTTTGCTTCGAACCTCGTCACATTTGATTTATAATGTAGAAACATTTCGCTACTATATTCTGCCAAATTATCATATTTTCAATTGTGGAAATTCATCTGTTTTCAAATCACAATCGTGCAGGCCTCATGGCTAAACAATCCAAATTATTTCAAAAATACTAAACAATCAGTTAAAAGGCAGATAATTGAATTACTTGTAATCGAATTGCTTGTGAAGTCATTTCAAACATATTTAAGACATGATTGTGTTTCTTTCAGAGAAATTTAATGTTTCAAAATTTGCCTTAGATTTAAATAAAGCTAAAATGAATAGTCGACCTCAAATACTTGTTTGATGCTTTTGTTATTTGCAGGCTTACAGTCTAATAGTAATAATTTATTTACATGAAAAAGACAGATAAAGAGATAGGAACACAGAATGTGAGGTGAGGAAGAAGAGGGAAATTGAAGAAAGGGCGAGAGAGAGAGAGAGAGAGAGAGAGGGACGAGAAAGGAGAGACGGGAGAAGAGAGAGAGAGAGAGAGAGAGATACAGACAGATAGACAGGAAGTGTAAGTCAGGAGAGAGAGAGAGGGGAGAGAGAGGGGTGAGAAAGGGGAGAGGAGAGGAAAGAGAGAGGGAGACATACATAGAGATACATAGAGCGTGTAAATCACTGAAAAGGAGAGTGATAGAAAAAGAGAGGGAAAGAGAGAAATAGTAATGATAATGATAATAAAAACGTTATAAAACGCTTACCCCCGAAGTATCAGAGCGATATAAAAAATTTAAATAAACATGCATCGGCCGGGAATCGAACCCGGGTCACCCGCGTGGCAGGCGAGAATTCTACCACTGAACCACCGATGCTTCACGAAAGAGAGAGGGAGAGTCCACTTGTCTTTTTTTTTTTAAATTGTTTTATTTATTGATGTAAACATCTATGATATTAAAGAGAGACGGTGAAAAGTGCCTTTGAGCGGATCTAGAGTTCTT